CACAGATATTATCAGAGGTTGAAAAAATATCGTTCTCTGCTCTCCTTAGACGAATGGATTCTGCGAGATTGCTAACGGAAATTCACAGTAGTTATTTTTATTGTCAGACTTCATTAAAGTTGTTTCACTCTCTGTTCAGTTGGTGTTGATGTGTTGGCACTGTATTTGCAACAGTTTTCTCTCCCGTCCTCCTTAGAGCGATCAGATAAGTGTAAGTTAAAATGTTTAAGTGCTCTCATATTAAAATTTACCACGACCACTTTTTCCACGTCCTTCCGGGCCTATCATTTGTAACCATCCCATGTTTTCTAATTTGTGCACTTTACAAAGCTTTGTTAAATGAACAGAGAATAAATAATAGACAGTATCACTCGTAAATTGATCAGAATAACCAAAATTCAAAACCCAACTTAAATAATAGACAGTATCACTCGTAAATCGATCAGTATAACCAAAATTCATAACCCAACGGGGTTAAAACATGTAAATATGAATTTCGGCTTAGTTTGGCTTCATTGATGGATTCTAAGTGTTCGGTGGTCCGGTAGAATTTTAGGAAAGGGATGGGTACATGTTATGTCCGTGTAGAGAAAGTCAGTGAATCACTGTGTGCCCATTGACCGGTTTGCCGCCTAAAGAACGGCCATCCAATGCATTTTGCATGAGGGTGTGACGCTGTAAGTATTTACAGAACTATGTTTTTGGAGCCTCACAACAGCGTGAGTGGATGAATGCTGCGATTTGAAATTGAAATCTGAATTTTCCATGGAACGGTGCTTGAATTTCATACCAGGCGCAGAGAACTCGTTGAGGAGACTGCTATGCATTGGCTGAATGGAGAGAGGGGAGTACGTGTGTGTAGCAGCCTTGCCTGGCGAGGACGCCTTCCTTATCTTTCGGAAGTTTTAACCTCTTCCCATTCAAGGATATTGTAACACCGCTTTGTCTGTTTTCATTTTTCTGTAACAAAGTGAGGTCTATGGTGTAACCATATCCGAGAGTGTGTGTGTCTGTGATGTCACACCTGCCTCCCCCCCACACGTGGCAACTTTTGGTACTGGCCGGTCAGTATAAGGCCTATATCCTACTTTTGTTAGTGTATAGAGACAGGCAAGTTTGCAGTGGGATTCTGTCCTATTGTGCCTTTGCCCCACTATAAATTTTGAACCAATCGGTCAGTTTTCTTACTAACTATTTAAGAAATTAGAAACCATGGAACAGACTCGTTATTGAGAAGCTGATAGTGGCTCAGATAGTTAATACATTTCTCCCATTTTTGGGGCCCGCACACATTGTGAATCTGTTGTTTCTGCGTTCTCAGATTCATACCACCCTGACACCATGCTTACAATTAAGAATGATAACATTAAAATGGATCCAAGGGTTATATCGTCTGGATAGAAATAGCTACGTTCCAATGGTGTGGTTTTTGGAAATTGTAATGCAGATTACAAGCCTGGTATTTCTTTACGGGCTGAGTGACTGTCAGCGTTTTAAGCAGTATCCCACACCATGTAGTCAGTTTTTCGTAAGGGTTAAAC